CCTTTGACCTGCGTTTCCACAGAACTGTGTGCCACTGGGACAGCATTTCCAGTTGTAAATGAAAGATGTGCTGCAGAACACACAGAAGGCGTCAATTTCCCCATACTCTGCTTGAATCGTCGGAATTTGGAGCGGATTTTGTTGAATTTTCAGTACCTTTGAACGGACAAGGCAAGAGATCCAACTGCGATGCAAAATTCATAAAGCATGGAATGAGGAGGTGGCGTGCCGAGAAGTCCCACCGGAGGTGAATGCATACATTCGAGAGAGAACAAAGGAGTTAAGCTTGAGGATGGCCAAATGGCCAGCCCATACGTACAAGAGCCAGACGAATCTTAAAAGGAGCCGTCAGATGTCAGGTGGTCACATGAACAAAGTACTGCACTGTTCATCTCGTGGCTTGAGCGACGCCCTTGAAGCTCCTCGCGCTAGCCATCACAACATATTTGGTACTGCAGGAGAGCATCCAAGAGCCGGCCGCGCAAGTTGACAGCTGTCATGAGACTGACGAGTGGTATTTGATCACCTCAACACCTTCAACTGGACGTGGAGCTACATTCGGTCCGACACGGAACTTTTCCAGATGGCTTACATCGGTGTCTCGTCAGTTGTTGGTAGCTTGTCTTTGGAACACGGTGACAAGGTGAGGTCAAACGCGGACATCAGTCTCAACCCTTTGTTGTGAAGGCTTTCACTCCACTGGGGCTCGCTTTCCGCTGCCACCAGTGTAGAGTCTCAAGAATTCCCGCCGGCTAGAATAAGTGAAGCTGAATACATGTATTCCAGGGCGGACAAAGGGACTAAACCTGATCTTGGTCCGAAGGCCAGTCCAAGCGTACGAAAGCCAAACATCAGGCGGTCACATGTACAAAGAATTACAGGCACGGTAGCGGAGACCCGCATACTCTCTTCCCATTCTTCGCCCGAGCTCCTAACCGTTTGGAACGCCTGACAAAGCCCCTCAAATCCAACAACCTCTTGAGGAATCTGTTAACATCAGAGAAGCATAAAGAATGAGGAATCCGCAATAATTGGTACCGATGACGAATGGAATGGATCTGGTGTCCCTACAAACCCATAAAAACAAGGACACAGAGTTCTTCAAGTCACCTCACCTTTGATTGGGTCATAAAAGGTAGTTGCATCTGTAGCAAAAGCTAATTCCATCATCTGACCCACACAAAATACGATTAAACAGGTGTCCAGTGCAGTTAAAAAACGCAATTTTGAAAGAGCAATTTAGGGAATGATTAAAAGTTTTGACATGTAATTTGAATGAATAGGAGATTTTGAGTGCTTTGACATCTCATTTAATCGATGAAGTTACATTGCACCCTATCTTCAACTTCCTCAAGCCTTGGAGTTACACGTCAAAGGCATTGAGAGGTCAGGCTAATCCAAATTACAACAATCTTGATTTCCATGGGAGGTGGGAAGACTTGAGATCACGTCAGGAAGAGCAGCCGCTTTTAAAGGGGTGCCATGCATGAAAGACTGTGCAAAGCCCACAGACAGCGTTAGGATGAGCGACTGAAGGTGTAGAGGAGGTGCTATGGTACAGCAATCGGGTTGCAACTATTATGATGTGATGTTGGTGGGGATGAGAGAATTCGATGTTAGCAGCCTTTTCTAGGGAAGACAATATCGAGTTAGCAGGCTTCGAATGAGGATAGCGCTGCCACCGAAAAGGTGGATAATACATCAAAATGGGTAGTGGCAGAGTATTTGAGTCCCGTCTTAAAAAAGCCGTTAAAATAGTGGCAAAATGTGCAAAACAACATCCGTATTCATAAGTGATAAGGTATTAACTCCAGAGCAATTTCACATTATCGACACAGAAAAATCAAAACGGTCTATTGAATTAATTTAAGTAACAATGTTAAACAAATTAAAAGAACGAGTGTTACAAACCGCCTCAGCACTAATTGGCTACTAGTGCAGGTATAAAAATCAATGAGGTCTTCCACGCACTGCGACGGTGGAAGTGACGTCTTCTCCTCTTTTAAGCCGTCAACATGCTATCCAACGAGGCAGTACTTAGACAAATAAAAAACAACAGCAGCAACAACTAAAACGCTTCCCACTTTCGGCTCTTCCTTGCCCATCTGCTTGTGTCGGTCAGTGACATTACAGACAGTGCCAATTGTAGGCAAAGTAACATTTAGTAACATTTCTGCTTACCCATTTCTACACACTATAACACACAACAACATGCGATGCTACCAAATTAGCATCTCAAATCCGACCTGACGAGTTATTTTTGTCCCTTCTAGTAGTTCCTTGTAATTGCACACAGTGAAGGTTGTTTTGCCACTCAGAAGGGGTAACTGCAATCACTGACAGCAAGGCGGAGGCACCTGCTGTGCACTGTCCCTTACACCCACCTTG